CCTGTCTCGTTTCCGGTGAAAACGGTCTGAGCTTTGGTCTGTAATGTCACTTGATGGGCATCCTCAGATTAGGGACTTATTTTTAATAAATATACAAGCCAATACATTTTCACTAATAAAAAGTTTTATTCGAACTAACAGTCTCCACAAGCTTCATTTTAACCCAAAATTTCGGCTTAAAAATCTTTTCATAATGCACATTTTTCACAAAGTGTGAAAGTCTCCACGAAAATATGACGCGTATTTACCAAATTTCGCGTAAAGCGATAAGGAGACTGCCAGATCAACTTTACCACAAGCACATGACGCTTACGCTTCCATTGAATTTCACATATCCCAACTCTCCTAAAAATTATCCTTCTCCTCTGCAGTCCATCCTGGATGAGAATACTTCTTGGAAAGTCAAGGCTATGTGAAATTTGTTAGAAGCGTGTGGTCTACTCATATGATTTTGGGAGAATTTAACGAAATTGGGTGAAAAAAGACATATATCTGATCTTCAAATAATCTGGAAACGCTGCGTTTATGACGAACAATTCTCAAAATACTCTTTTCTCAATAGATTCATCATGCTCTCGGTGTACACTTTCTGGGAGGCATCGGCCCTATCTCTGCTCATTTACCCTCTCCTCCTTTCGCGACTCTTCTTCGCCCAGTTACCACCAGCAGCCAGCCTCAGTCTCTTGGCCGCCATTTCCTTCACGTACCTGCGCTCACCTGTTCCCCGGTGAGCAGATCGCCTCCATTCACCACCCCCAACGCCAGGTAGGCCAGGCCACAGGCGGTGCCGAAGCAGAATGGCAGCGAAAACCAGATGAGCCCACCAAAAATGAAGCCGTACACGGCCTGATTCGGCTTGGCCGAAGCACTCGCCTGCCAATAGGGTTGGTTGCTGAGGATGAGGGAGATGACGCCTGCAAAACAGGACAAATTAAACAAGTCCATTGAAGAGGTAGAGGCTAAAGAAGTTAAAGAGAAAGCTCAAGCCTGTTGTAGAAGTTGATCGCCAGACCATTCAAGTCCTCTCACCGGAGCATTCTGATATGAGCTAATCAGACAGGCCTAAGAGGCAGAACAGCCAAATCCATCCAAATGATGATATTTATACTACTAATGGGCTATGTAAACTAATATGAATACATGAATAGTATAGTATATTAGTATATATACTTAAGGTAATATACTACGGCTATTAAATAGTAATATTATTACAATAATTTTTTTATAAAATAGCCAATAATTTCAATAAGTAATGATAAGTAATAATAATAAATTATAATAAAATATTATGATAATTCAATTAGTTATGTATATATGAGTAGTTTATATTTTATAAAAATAGTCACTTTATTTTATTGAATAAGAACTTAATCAACTGATTGGTGATTTCTCCCAAAATCAGATGAATTGGCTTCATTATGCTATTTTAATTGACCAGGCTCAGCCTCCCAAAAGCTCATCTCCTCCAGGATGGATTTCACTTTCGAACTTGCCTAGGTTTCATTAACGGGATTTGATGCTAGGTTGTGAGTATCTTGGTAACGTTTATCACCCAATTTGGCGGCCACTTGTGACGGTGAGCCTTTGGGCAGATGCGACATTTAAGGCAATTCAAGCCTCGTCAAACAGACATTTTTTCAATGTAAAGATTGTCAATTAAGCGAGCACATGTCTTTCATTGCAACAAACGAGGCTGCTTATTTTAAATATAAATGAATAGAATTGCAGTCTAGCCTGGATGAGAACAATTTTTGGGAAAGCAAGGTTCTATGAAACTCAATGGAAACGTCAGCTTTTCTCATATAATTGTGGAATAGGGTGAATACATCTCATATAACTGATTTACCGGTAGTCTCTAAACTGTACTTACATACGAAAAAGTAAGAACTCTTTTAGCCTAGATCGCTTAGGGTGCCTTAAAGACTGATGGTTGAGACATCTCATATTGAGATGATGAGGCCTCATTGTGACTACCACAGAGTTGAGTAGGACTTTGGTGTGAAGCATAAGTCTGAAGCACCTCTTACCAACCAGCACGACTAAAACTTTCGGCAGACACGCAACCACAGATTGCTCGGGAGTCCGAAGCTCTGATGCGGAGCGACAAGTTCAACTGGATAACTGACATTTTTGCGAAAAAAATTGTGACGAAGCAACATTCGGGCAAATATGTCGCTTTTGGAGATAAGGTGATCTCAGATTGGTCCTACCTCAGAGCTCTCAAAGTCATTTCGTCATAGTTATCTGGTGAGATATCGTACTTTCTTTTGCCTGAATTTCCTGTTTCTTTAGCATTTTAATATAACCACTTGGGAACCCCATTATTGCGACCCCTTTTGTCAAAACGGTCGGTTAATGAGGTCAAAGTGTTAGTCTAGATAGAGACTGTAAGTTTATTGAATGATACGTTTATTTCGAAATGGGCTAAAATATAAACAGCAAAAGTTTTAAAAACCCAATCCTGACAAAGAAATTGTATTAAAATAATTTATTTTAAACTGCAGTTAGAAA